TGGTAAAACGTATTGACCTTTCAGAAAAATATGCTCACTGCCTCACAAAGATTATGCTCGAGTTGAAAAATCAAAAACTCGAAAATTATCATCATTATCATTTGAATGAGGAATTACATGTGGAAATTACGAACGATACGCCAATGTCCTCAATACAACCTAAAAAACAACGAATGTCAGAAATCTAGTGTTCAACCCCAGAAATGAATAAAGATGGAACTATTCAGGGTGTTTCATGAGAAGACTCACATAGCCGAATGGTTAATAGGGGAAATCAAGACGAGTTGATGTATATATATGAAAACATTTTTTGACCCTCCATAACGAACATGGTATTATGTTAAATTGCTATATAACTTTGATCGTCGATATTACAGATTCAGAAAGATCAGACGAAATTCTATGAGAACTGCTCTTCAATTTACACAGCACACTTTGACCGGTCCAATTAAAAAATATGGAACAAAATCGTTCGAATGAATTTTGAATTTCGACCTGGCCGATAACTGTCAACTTTCAACTGGTATCATGTGAATTGATTTTTTCTACATTTTTATCGGATAGTAATTGACAGAAAGATAGACGGGAAGAAAAAACACGATATTTTCTATCGAAATTCCAGATAGATATTATTATTCCTGACTTTGTTTTATGGGTATCGCTTGAAGTGAGATATCGAGTAGGTCCTGTTTTTCATTCGTGTGACGAGACGTGACGTTTGTTGATAATCCGAACTGATAGGTAGGTACTAGGCTAGTACTAGGTAGGTACCAACTGATGAAATTATGACATGAGGATTCATGTGCCCATATTATGGTGATTTATCAAATTAGTTATGCCATCACGCATAAACTTAGCTCATTTTTTTGGTATTGATACAATTCTGCAAGTGAAATAAGGATATGCATTTGCTATTTATTCAAAATTCCTAATGTTCATCCTCGTGAAGGTTTTACTGCAACGTATTCTTGGGTCTGGAAATATTCTATGGTATTGAACATAGCATAGCATTTGGATTTTTGTCTTGTTCAGCATTTGGAATATGAAGTGGCACCTAGAGTGTAAGAATATTTCGATTACCAGTGTTTGCCTATCAACAAACGTCATGTTACATAAAATAAAATCAGGGCCCACTTTATAATACATTTATAAAATAGAGTCACGAGTAATCATATATCTAGAAGTTCGGTCAAAAACTAACATGTCAAATCATAAAGAAATCAGAACTAATCTCTTCTGTCAATTTCTATCCAATGAAAATGTACAAAAAATCAATTTACACGAATCCAGTTAAAAGTTGAGAGTTATCAGCCAGGTTAAAATTAAAAATGTATTCGAATGTTTTTGTTCCATATTTTTTTGTTGAACCGGTCAAAGTGTGCCGTGTAAATTGAAGAGCAGTTCTTATAGCATTTTGTCTGATCTTCCTGAATCTGATTGAATTTTTTGAGAAAAGTGGTCACAAAGTGAACTTGTTTGACATAACAATGAAACATAAAATTTTCCCTAGTCCAGACCTGGAAATTTTTTTCATAATATGTTATCTTGAATAGTTTTAGTTGAGATACGTCGCTTGCCAAATTTCAGCAGATTACGACGAACCATTTCTGTAATATCGACCATCAAAGTTATATAGCAATTTCACATAATACCCTTCGTTATGGAGGGTCAAAATATGTTTTCATATATATACATTAACTCGTCTTGATTTCCCCTATTAACCATTCGGCTATGTGAGTATTCTCATGAAACACCCTGTATAACTGTTTCACAAGCACTTTAGAGTGAAAGGAGACGAGGATATGTCCGTACCCTGTTAAGATGACAAATACGTCAATTTACATCAAGGGACCCTAGTCGAAACTAGGGTCCCTTGATGGAAATTGACGTTGAAGTCATCTTAACAGGGTACGGACAGATCATAGCTGCATTCTTTTTTAATGATCTAGAGACTTTGGTTTCGTCTACTGGCATCCCTGACATTGCTGTCACGTCACATCCATGAGCGCTACAGAAAATCATTCAAAAATTTAATAATGGTTATGTACAGGGTATTAACTTGTTGAGGAAGATCATATGGTGATCGAGTTTCGTAATTACGATCCGATTCTATTCAAAATTGGAAGGTATCTGGGGTTTTCCGGGGTTGGAGATAATGATTGTGTCGTCCAACTTCGAAAATTCAAGATGACGGATCCAATGTATAGCGAAAGAAATTTCTAATTATGATCTGATTCTATATAAGATTGGTATCTGAGGGTTTTCGGGGTCGAACTTCATGATTTTTTTGTCAAAATTGGGAAATTCGAGATAGCGGATCCAATATGGCTAACGAGTTTTGTAATGATGAAGATCCGATTCCATCAAAATTGGTATCTGGGGGTTTTCGGAATAGGAGATAATGATAGTTTCGTCAAAATTTTGAAATTCAAGATGACAGATCCAATATGGCGAAAGACATTAGTTTATATAATTATTAATCTACCACAAATAGAAAATATGTAGGAGGCAAGAGTGAAAATAACGTGTATATAAGTTATACTGCGTATACCTACTTCTTTGTTACTTTCATCAATAAATTATTCGAAGATGACTTTTCATTTAAGGGAGACGGAAAAATCATGAGTATATTCTATTTTTTATTTTCCTGTACTTTTTACGATCTCTTTTTTACGTATTACTTTTTATCAGCCTACTTTTCGTCCCAGACGATGTTTTATACATACAGTGTGATATTAGTCAGGCCATAAATTCTTCTCTGAATTGGATTTCCGAAAATATATTTAGCACACATGACATGAGTACAGTAGTTCAGATACCCCCATATCAAGGTTTCCGCCATTTCTCAATTATAACGCTCAGCTCATTCAGCTCATAGATAAACTTCTGCTCAGCTTGAAATCAGAATTCTTTTAGTCAGTCAACACTGGTATACAGTCTGAGAACAGTCTCTTCTGGTGAAATATATTAAGCTTTCAGTACAATTTATATGTTCCCTACCCCGCAAAGATTGTAATGAAGTGTTTTTGAACAGCTTCATTACTAGACTGGTTTTGATCAAAATCTAAGTACCTGAGCCTGATTCTAGTTGAATTTCACCTGTTCGAAAGCTCGAAACCTGAAAACCTGAGAGAGCTGAGTAATGCATTGATTCCTGACTTCCCACAGCTTTTCCTGATAGTAACCTTTAATGAACATCATTACAACCCTAAAGACTTCAGTATTTTTCAACCCTTTGCTTATGATATGAAATTTGATTGAATTATCTATCAGTTGAAATGATGAATGTTTAACTGCTCATAACTTTGTTGTTATTAAATATTTTCCAGCCAAATTCACTCAGTAGCATAAGCAAAGGTAGTAGATCCTGTTCCTGTGCCCATTTAGGGTGTAATATTATTTTTTCCGCGTTTTGTGTTGGAGGTGCACATGTGTTTTTCAAGGACAGATTTAGTGGCCATGGCCATGAGCCATGACAAGGTGGGAGTTTTGACCAATGAGGTTCCAGATTTACTTGTCCTTGTGCCAAGGCCAAAGCAGTGCATAAATACTGAAGACAGCCAAGGATTGGACACTCTCTAAGCTCTTCTTGACAAGTCTACACTACCTGATCGCCGTTGCTCTTCAAGCTCCTGATTCTCTAGCTGATCTCTTAGTGCTCTTATAGTTCATTCAAAACCAGTGTAAAGTAGTATTGTATAGTGATTTCCGGTTACACATGTAAGTTTGTATATTTTTCACCAGTGTTATTCATCCTGTTCATAGATCCATTTCATTCCTGTTATTTTTCATACCGATACTCACCCGACCTGTTAAAGAATCCAGAACTCTAAATTGAATAAACGAATTTTGTGATTGCATATTTCATATTTCCTTCTCTGTTGTCATTGTTTTCAGTTCCAAATAGTTCAATAATTTATTTAGTGATTTTCAATATTTTCATTTGTCAAAATTGCAGAATATTATTATTGCCTGACGACTGACACTGACAAGCCAGTTAACAACTCTTCTTCTTCTTTTCCTTGAGAAATCCAGTCCTGTGCACCGGTGTCTCTGTGCTTTGTATCCCGTCAGGCGGTGTTCTACGTTTCATGAACTATTGACATTAATGGAAATATATAATTAATCAACCTCACTAAAAATAGTAAAAATCCGATATTAGAAAATTAGAAAAATCGAAGGAAAAGGAAAGATAAATAGAGATTGAATCTGTTTAATTCGTTTAGAGCTGTGTTTCTGATTCTCCAGATAGAAATGATGAAATAGTTGAATAAATAATTTTCCAGACCTAACCTTGAAACACAAGAGAGTCCCGAATGATAGTTGTTTTGATTCCTGTAATTATCCAGACTGAAAATAGCAACCAGTATTCCAGGCTAGACCCAGGGTTTGTAATTAAAGCCTACACTCCCTTGGCTCCTTATTGATTCCAGGTCGATTCAATACCATTGACCCCTGGATTATTGTGGGTACCGAGGTAGGTATACCTCCTGTACCTTTCTCCACTGTTGCTACTGTGGGCTTCCTTCCCGACTAGGTTGGGAGGAGCAGGTGAAGTAAATCACCTTTATCAAAAATCTGGCGCTCGAGAATCCCCCCTGTCAAATACCAGAGTAGTCTCCTGTCCTGAACAGAGCGTCAAAGTAAGGGCCCCAGAATAAAGACCCTTACAAGATTATGCTGGAGTAGTAAACTCTAAAACTAGAGGATTGTTCATCTATATCTTGGTATAGTTGATCAGGAATTCCATATGGAAATTACGTATGATACGCCAGTGACCTCAATATAACCTAAAAAACAACGAATATAAAAAATCTAGTGTTTATCCCCAGAATTGAATAAGGATGGAACTATATAACTGTTTCACAAACACTTGAGTGAGAGGAGACGAGGATCTGTCCGTACCCTGTTGAGATGACTTTAACGTCAATTTACATCAAGGGACCCTAGTCGAAACTAACTAATGCCTGACTGACTGAAAAGTCCCATTTCCCTTTCAGCCGTTGGTGAAATTCAAGAGCCACCTCTACTATGAGGACAAAGACAACGTCCAGGAGCGGCTGAAGGCGCTCGTCGCGCTGCCTGACAGCAAAATAATCTTCTTCAAGAACGGCGTCTGCCAGGGCGTCGCCTTCGAGGACGTCTACCAGGGCGGCTACTTTCCCGTGTTGTCGCTGCACAGGAATGTTACCGTGTCGGTGAACTTCGGGCCGGTGTTCAAGTGCCCGCCGGCGGAAGGGGAGTTCGACTATAGGCCGGTGAGTAGACTTTGTCAAGCTCTTGAATTTCAAGTTCATGCTCAGTTTTTTTTCATAATATACACACACTGGCAAAATTAGGGGAACGGGCAAAATTTACACCAAGTTTGACATCAATTTTCCCTCGAACCGATCGGTCGGTTTGAATTTCTTTTTCATGAATTGTAGATTTATTCTTCACGAATACATCTGAGGAATAACCACCTTCAAACGATTCGTCTTTATATCATATACAGGGGTGTAAAGAAAGTACTGATTCTTCGAGATTTTTTGAGACATCCTGTGGAGTGAACCACTGATAATTGAAGCGATTCCTCAACACCATATGTAGCCCAATCTATTCCGAATATTTTCGTTTCGTATTCATCTTGAAATCTAAATTATTTAAAAAAATACAGAGTTTCAAAGGAAAGATGGATATTGGTATTAATTTTACCACCTCGAAACTCGAATTGGATCTGAGAATGTGTCGTTTCTCAAGTTGTTTATGAGATAATTTTCCTTTCAAGTTGAATATTGCTCTCATTTTCACCTATTAGTCTATTGTGACAAGATTTCTTAGAAACATACAGATATGATCAAAAAGGAATGTAATTCTCAAAGCCTTCATTCAATAACAATAACATCAACTTAACGAACAATACGGATTCAGGACGCCAACAATAATTTCAATAACGTGTGTGACCTCCACGCGCTCTTATTACAGCAGTCATCCGTCTGCTCATGCTCTCGATGACATTATCGATCATTTCTTGAGGAAGATTATCCCAAATCTCAACCAGAGCTGCTGCTACTTGCTCGGGATTTTGTACAGCGGGAATTCTGGACCTTAATCGTCTACTAAACATGTCCCATACATGTTCGATTGGATTAAGGTCTGGCGAACATGCAAGAAAATTGATTGCTCTTATACCGACTGTATTTGAAGAGTTGGAGACTGAACGAGCCACGTAAGGGCGGGCATTATCGTGCATTAACAAGAAGTTTTCTCCGATATGGGGGGCGAATGGTATGACATGCTGTTGAAGAACATCTCGTATATAACCATCTGCATTTAAAGCGCTATTAACCACTACCAACTCTGTTCGTGCCCCTAAACATATTCCACCCCAAACCATGACTGAACCTCCGCCATAGGATACAGTAGCAGTAAAATTGAATTGTTCATTTTGTTCACCTCGGCGGCGATATAGTCTTTCCCTGCAATCCATTGAATTGATGCAGAAGCGGCTCTCATCTGTAAAAAGAACGTTGGCCCACTGGTCATTTTCCCAATTTATATGCTGCCTAGCTGAGTCTTGCCACCTGATGACGTCGCTGGAGTTGAGGAGCTTTCTTCGTTCTATAGGCCCTCAGACCAACTTCTTTAAGCCTTCTGCAGATAGTTCGATGACTTATTCGCCTTCCACGTACTCCTTCCAGTTCGTTTCTCAATTGGGGTACGGTTGTACGTCTGTTTCGTAGTGTTTGATTTTTCCAGCATGTCAGCAACATCAGTGTACGATCTACCATTTTCAATTAATGCTACAGCCCTCGCCATCAGTAGGAGTCAAATCTCCCATTTGGAATTTTTATTAATCAAATTAATGAATTTGGAATTGTGAATCGCTTGACTTTGACAATAATTAATGACATAAACAAAATAGCCAACGTTGATCAACAAAAATAGCATTTCACCAAAAGAACATTGAAGTAACTTTTATCACCCCTGCATATTCATAAGGGTATTTGTTCGAAATCCACTATTTTGAATATCATTTTACGTTATTTTTTTCAAGTATATATTTTGTTCTATGAGAACTAGGGAGTTCTCAATCTTTTTTATATGTATTTATAGGGAAAATATTATTGTATATTAATTATTCCAATTTCGCGCTAATATATGCACGATGATCCTTAATCGCCTGCGCGAGTGCCTCCGAGTCAAGGATGAGCAACGACAGCTCGTCCCACTTCGATATATACCGCATCACCGTGTATGTCACTTTTGCCGGTAATTTTCACATCTAACGATGTTGAATAAAAATAGTGACGATTATCTAAACCCGCGATATCTCACGTGTTAAGTGTTGAACCTGTTCCAACCACAACGAGAGGGCCCTCTTCCAGCATTTCATCAGGAGCAGTACCGAAGCAGTGCCTACTTGAACGTCTCCGCCGATCAAGAACGCGAGGTAAGGCCATAAAGGTGAATCGTGCTCGATTATTCAAACTGAATCTAAGGGATACAATAATATTGAATTCACAACCAAAAACATACAGTCCACTAAAATCTACCTCTAGCTGAAACATTGATCCTTCAGAGCCTAGATCATAGTTTGAATAATTTAAAAATTAATTTTTTTTTGCTTGACAGCAATCGCCATCTTGGTATTCGTTTCTCTTCATTAACGTGAAATTGGTACCTATCAGCGATCTTTCAAGTTTTCAAATTCGTAAATTAAATGCGCATGTCTGTGGTCTCGTATCTTGGTCAACTTCCGCAATCTCATCATCTCTCTCTCTAATCCACTCTTGGCCATTGTTTTGTTTACATTTGACATTTCAGTTGGTCTCCTTCTTGTTGAACTACTCTTGAAAAAAGAAAAAAATCCGCGATTTGAAGTCTTCAGAATCCTATTCCAGGTCCGCCTTTACAAATTTCTGTTCTACCGCGAATTCATTAGGTATTACGATATTTGAGTTTATCTGGTTTAAAAATGTCATCAGCTGATAAAATCAAAAGGGCCAAAAGCCTTCGCCTCATTGAAATTAATAAAATGCACGAGCTTTTCCAAGTTGCAAGTAAGGCGCAGAATGACGATTCTATTCATGATGAATTTATGTTACGATTTCAAACAATCGATAAAATATACGATAACTTCGAAAAGCATTACAATAACATTATATCTCTCATAAGCAATATCGAAGAAGATGATATAAACGCAGAAGAGACCATTCGCACCGCTTTCGATGACAAATACTTTGCCATAAAAACAATACATTACGATTTGTTTGAACGTAAGTTGAATTTATCTATTAAAAATGAAGTTGCTAATTTACCCAGAACTAAGTTACCGGAACTTAAATTGGGAAAATTCAGTGGAGACGTCCGTAGTTTCACATCTTTTATTGAAGTATATGATGTTATAATCCATAATAACAACCAAATTTCTGATGTAGAGAAATTTTCACATTTGATTGCCTCTCTCGAAGGCCCGCCAAAAAGTCTTATAGCATGTTATCCTCTGTCTGCCGCCAATTACCTTTTAGCATATAATGCACTGGTTAATAGATATTCTAACAAAAGAATATTAGCTACCGCGCATTGGAACGAAATAGTTAACGCCCCGCCTATCAATAACGAAAATCCCGCATTATTATGTAAATTACTTGATACGTTTGTTGAAAATCTAGCAGCACTTGGAAACTTACTTTATCCTGTAAAACAGTGGGATTTCGTGATAACCCAAATAATGTTGAAAAAATTGGACTCCGCGACTCTATCAAGATTCGAGCTTGCTCATGGTTCGAATGATATGCCTACATTTTCTGACTTGAAAATCATCAAACAGTGTATTGCGTATGAAACTTTGATGTCCTCGACTCAACCTACACGTAGTAAAAGCAGGAGTTTGCCATCAAATTCTGCTCATAATATTGCTCATAATTCTGCTCATTATGCCGCTCATAATTCAAGGTCTAGTTCTTCCTTTCTCACAAACAATTCTAGGATTAATAATAATAGTAACAATCGGCCTTGTGCATGTTGCAACTCAATCGATCACTTAATTTATAGATGTTCTGTTTTTCAAAATAAAACACCGCAAGAACGTTGTAATTTCGTGAAACAAAATAAATTGTGCCATAATTGTTTGAGTAGCTCTCATTCGCTCAGAGCGTGTCAATCCAATTCTGCTTGTATCCAATGTCATTCTCGTACGCATCATTCTTCTCTACACATGCCACGTAATAACGGAAATTCGTATAATCATCATCCAATGTCAGCTTTGCAAGAAAATGTCCCACATAATAGTAATTCGCGTAATATTTCTCCACAAAATCCAATCACTGATAATAACGTTTCTTTTACTAATTGCGCTCTGTCCATACGACCTAAGCCCGACCCTGTGTGCCCGATTAGTGAATCATGCTCAAACGATAACATTTTGCCCGCAAAAAAGGTATTGTTGTCGACGGTTCAATTGCGAATTCGAGATAGTCTAGGAAATTGTCAGATCGTTCGAGCTATCTTAGATTCAGGTAGCGAGGCTTGCTATGTTCGCAAAAAATGCGTGCAACGTTTGAATTTACCTATTCGAAAAACAGCAATAAATATAAATGGATTAGGTGGAATGAATACCTCATCCAAATCAGGGATAGTGACTTGCACTATCGAACCTCTTCATAAAAATTTTCCTATATATAATTTTGAAGGAATTATTTTAGATAATATATGCGCTGATCTGCCAAGCTGTACTTTTGATATAAGAACATGGGATCATATTTTCAATTTAAATCTCGCAGATCCTGATTTCAATAAATCAGGTTCAATCGATCTTTTACTAGGGGCAAGTATTTTCGAAAAAGTGCTATTAGCGGAAAGAGTGGTTTCTAAAAATGCTAACTTGCCCACCGCGATAAATACTCAATTTGGCTACATTCTCATGGGGGATGTGAGCGTAACAGATGAAAGTTCTGTAGTCGTTAGTTTGTACCGTTTGAGATATTCAAGAAACGGCACGACTTGTTAAATAAGGGTGACGTCAGCTGCACGCTACGCATTCCGATATTTTCACGGTGCCCTGTTACAGATTTATTAGCTAGGCCTAGACCGAAAGTAGAAGTACCGCTACTACGCGTTAGATGGGGTTGGTAAAATTAATTAAGTAGTATACTGTTAAGGAGTTTTCTTTATTTTCTTGGTGAACGTGACAAAGTCAGAGATTTGTATTGATACAGATTTCATCAAATCATCTAGATGTAGTTGTGTAGCTACCGTTAGTGTCAGATCCAGTACA